ATCTACTCACCCATCCATCCACCCACCATATATCCACCCACCCACACATCCACCCACTGTATATCTATCCATCTACTCACCCATCCATCCATCCAGCCACCCACACATCTACCCACCATGTATCTATCCCTTTACTCATCCATCCATCCACTCACCCACCCACCATATATCTTTCCATCTACCCACCCACCCATCCATCCATCCGTCCATCCACGTATCCACCCACCATATATCTACTCACCCATCCATCCATCCATCCACCCACTGTATATCTATCCATTACCCAACCACCCATCTACCCACCATTTATCCATCCACTCATCCATCCATCCGTCCATCCACCCATCCATCCACACATCCACTTACCATGTATCCATCCATTCACACATCCACCTACCATATATCTATCTATCTGTTCATCCATTCATCCATCATCCTTCACCCATCCATCCATCCACCCAGATGGGTGGACAGATGGGTGAATGGATGAGTGGACGGATGAATGAGTGGTGGGTGGATGGGCGGTTGGACAGATAGACTGATGTGTGGGTGGACAGGTGGATGGGTGGGTGAATGGGTAAAGCACATCCTTAAAAATATAAAATCCTTTACAAGAAGATTGTTGGTTTTTTAAATCTCAGTCAAGCCCCCAGGGGCTTTCCAAGTCTCAGGGAGGTGTCATTGTTCCTTAAAGCCTGGCACCTGGTGAGCACCTGCTAATTAAGCTTCTTAACACAGGTGAGCTGGCTTCAGATGCAAGAGGGACTCTAGAGGGGCGAGTGGAGTGGGCAGGGCCAGACCCTGTCTTGTGGGTCATGAGGAAGGGTCCTCCAGGCACTAGGGAACCACAGCAGGTTCGAACAGAGAGGGGAAGCACCTGATTTTGGTTACTCTGGGAACGGGGACGGGTATAGGAGGGAAGGGAGGAGGTGGGGGGAGAGGGCAGGGGAGGAGGCAGGGGACCCTGGGGGTAGAACCAGCAGCAGTTAGGGCCAAGGGTGGGGGTGGCGAGTGAGGTTCATGCCTGAGGGGTCTCGGCAGCACCCCAAATCGATCCCATCGCCCCCGGAGAGTCTGTAAGTGCCTCCTGAACCCCCTCCACTCACTTCTCATTGCTTCTGGAGAACCCCAGCAGGCAACCATCAATGCCCGAGAACGCATCAGGCCCAGAGAAAAATTATTCACTCCACAAATGTGCACAGAGCCCCTGCCAACGTACTTAACTGTGTGTGTGTTTAAAAAAAAAAAAGACTCATAATACAGGAAACGGAAGTTAAAACTGAGGTACAGTGTTTCACACATCAGAATGGTCAAACTCCAAAACGCTGCTAACACCTGGTGCTGGTACTGCCGTGGGGAAACAGACACAATACCCACACGTGGGGAAGACGCTGCACCCTCCATGGAGGCGACTCGAGGATCTTTTCAGAAATGACCACAGCCTGCATGCTGGACTCCCTCTGCTGTGGACTTATCCTATAAATAAACTCTCCCTCATGCCAAATGACACAGGCCGAAGGGATTTTCTTATAGGAACGTCTGTGATGGCAAACGGTTAAGAAACAACCGAGTGTCCAAAACCACAGCAACCCAATTCCCACATGACTACTAGCGACCCAGGCCCTTCAGGAGCGAAGGATTGGGTCACCCCACCAGGCAAAGAACCACGACTAGCTGAGGTGCTTGCTGAGGGCAAAGGGAGTACGGAATGTGTGGTGGAAGAAGGTAGTTCCAAATACCGCTTACGACCACATGCCCAGTTGCAGAAACAAGGACTGTAATTGTTATGAGTATTTCTGCTTTATATGTTTGAATCAAGTATTTTTGTTTTCTTCACTTATAAAATATAAGATGTAAACAGGAAAAAAAAAAAAAAGAAGAAGAAGAAACAACCCAGAGTCCATCAGTCAGGGGCAGCGCATCCACATCGGAATACTACATAGCAAGGAAGAGAACTGAGGACACCCTTTCTGGGATGCTAGGCAAAAATCCTCACTGGAAAAAAGCTAAGAGCAGGAACTTGCCTTTTGAAAGGCGGGGTCAGTGGAGAATATACGTATCTGATCAGCTTGAATAGGCATAAAACGATCTGGGGAAGAATTAAAGAGACAGGTGAGTACTGAGGACCGGGGAGGGGTTTTGGAGGGAAGGGGCTGCCTTTGCATTGATTTTGACACTGGTTGTTCTTTACGGAGTTGAGGAAGTTCCCCTCTCTTCCTGGTTTGCTGAGCGCATTTATCAGGAAATGTGTTGGACTTTGTCAAATGCTTTTTCTGCCTCTATTGATAGGGTCGTACGATTTTTCTTCTTCAGCTTGTTGATGGGTTGAGTTACAATTGGAAATGTTGAACCCGTCTCCCATGAAAAAACAAGCAAACGTGTTGCCCTTGAGTCGATTCTGACTCACGGGGACCCCATGTGTTACAAAGCAGCACTGATCTCCATAGGTTTTTCTTGGCTGTAATCTTTATGCAAGCAGACTGCCAGGCCTTTCTTCCTTGGTGCTGCTGGGTGGGTTCAAACCACCAACCTTTATGTTAGTACTGCAGCGTAGTTTGTGCCACCCAAGGACTCAGCCTAGCGTGCTTGGTCTTGGTGTAAAATTCCTTTTACACAATGTTGCCTTCGATTTGCTTTTTTTTTGTTGGAGATTTTGGCATCTATGTTCGCTTTGGAACCTGCTGTAACAGGAATCTAAGTGCAATTTTGAAGAATAAGCAGATTTTCTACAAAGTGGTGTGGGCCACCTGGAGGTACTGCCCATTGGAGAAAACCCCATGATGAGTCGTGCTGAGGTTTGGGACCCACTTTCCTGGGGATGAAATGCTGGGTTCTGGTCCAAGCTGCCAGTGGTGGATCTACAAAGGGGAAGTTTCCTCCCGGTAAGGAGGCCCCTCATCTCTCCATCCACGCCCTGCCCGGGCCCCTCACTGCGGCTGGATTTTCCTACAGTCAAGAGGGGAAACCATGGCTCTTGGAAGATGGAAAACCAAACCCAACCCAGTGCCGTCAAGTCAACTCCCACTCGTAGCAACCCTACAGGCCAGAGGAGAACTGCCCCACAGAGTTTCTAAGCAGCGCATGGATTCAAACTGCCGACCCTTTGGTTAGCAGCCGTAGCTCTTAACCACTACACCACCAGGGTTTCCTGGGAGACGAAAGAAGGCCCCAAACATCCAAGTCTGGGCACACAGGGTCTGCTGGAGGCATATCCCCCAATGTCACCCTCAGCACTCAGTGTGTGCCAGGCAGCTGTGTTCATTATCTTTTATTTTTTAAATACTCGAAAAGCCCTTACTGTGTACTTAGCTGGTTCTAACTATTTTGTAAATATTAATTCCTCTACTCTGTATGTAAGCGGAGTCCCTGGGTGGTGCACACTGAACACACTTGGCTGCTAACTGAAAGGTCGGAGGTTCGAGTCCACCCAGAGGCACCTCAGGAGAGAGGCCTGGCGATCTGCTTCCACAAAATCAGCCAGTGAAAATTCTGTGGAGTGCAGCTGTACTTTGACACACACGGGGTCGCCATGAGTCGGAGGTGACTCGATGGCAACTGGTTTTTTCTCGATAAATGGGGAAACTGAGGCTTGAAGAGGTTAAGAGATGTGCTCCAGGTTTGTAACTGCAGAGGAGGGACTTGAATCCACCCCCACCCCACCTCCCTGCCCCCCTCATGGCCCCCAGAGGTCCGTGCTTCAGCCTCTCAGGTGAGTTACTGGCCTATAACCTGGACGGAAGGTCCCACCTCCCAGCATTTTCCCAGGCTGTTTCCGCCACCGGAACCCCCACTTCTGCACCCCTGAACTCCTATTCATCCTACAGAGCCCAGTTCCTCTGACTCCCTCACCCCTCTAACCTGACTATGCCTGACTCCAGGGGTGCTGTGCGCAGCCCTGTCCCTCAGCGTGGGGGGCCCCGAGGGTTGCCAGAAATGAGGCGACCCCCACTCACCTCCACGAAGTAGAAGCAGGGCAGAAGCGTCATGCTGTCCTTGGGGGTCTTATTTTTCTCCTTGGCGGAGATCATGGTGCAGCACGCGCCACAGGCCGTGGCTGGAGGGGGACAAAGATGCGCGCGGGAGCGGGGGAGTGCAGACTGAGTCTTGGGAGGACCCGGTGACCAGCGCCGGCGGAGGAGGGGAGGCCGAGGACGCGCAGGAACCGCCCAGGGAAACTGAGGCTGGGGGCCGGGGGCGCCCCCCGGGACCTCTCGCCGCGCACCGCGGCCCTACCCAACCATCCGACTTCCGGAGGTGCCCTAGCCCGGACGGGGGGTCGGGCGGGCGGGGGCTCAGCAAAGAGGGCGGGGCCGGCCTGGCTTGGTGGGGATCTGGCAGGCCCGGAGCCTCCAGGAGAACGGGGCTTCAGAGGGCGGGAGGAGGGGTGGGGTGCGGCCCCCAGCCCCTCTCACCTGGTACAGCCGGAGCTTGAAGGGCGCGACGCTGGTGGCAGCGGCAGACGGGGGCTGCGGCGCCGCGAGCACAAAGCGCGGCCCCTCCCCCTGGGGGCGGGGCGTGGGGGGGAGGGGAAGGCAGGGGCGGCCCGAGACCCCGGCGGCAGAGGCGCTGTCGGCGCGAGGGGCGGGCCTCTTTGTCTCCGCGCGTCGGGGGCCCCGGGGGCCGCCCCCGCCTCCTGCGTCTCCGGGGCTCAGGCTCCGGCAGGGACTGCCGGGGGCCTGGGTTTGGGGTCTCTTCCCTTCGGGCCCCTTTCGGCTCCGGCCCCCCCATTCTTTCTGGGGTCTCTCGGGGCGGCCTCGGAAGCCCCCATCAGTGCCGGGGACGGGGCGGTCTTGGGTTCCTGGGTGTCTCTGTGTTTTAGGGTCTCTGCCTGCCTCTGACTCCCCCTGTCCCCCGCCTCTGCGCCCCCTGCTCCGGTGCCTGCCGCTCCCCGGCGTGCGTTTCCATGGCGCGCGCGCTCCCCCTGCGCCCGAGCAGTAGGAGACAAAAGAAGGGGGAGGCTGCCCTTCTCCGCCCCGCCCATCGCCCCGCCCCGCCCTCCTCGCCTCGCCCCGCCCCGCCCGGGCAGGGTCCCCCCTCCCGCTGCCCCTCTCTGGGCGCGTCGCCAGGCCTACAACTGGCCGGGGGTGCCTACATGTGGACGCCTCCTGGCAGCCGCCTGGACGGCGGCGGGTGGGACACGGGCGAATGTACTTGGCGCGCACTTGGGCAGCGTTAAGTGCTAAAACACAGCAACAGCTCTGCGGCCGAGAGACGGTCTGACCCCATTTTACGGATGAGGAAACTGAGGCCCGGAGAGTATAAGTCATTCAACCAAGGTCGACCGACCCTGAGCGACAGAATTTTATTCGGTTCATTTATTCAACATCTCCTGAATACCTATTGTATATCCGCCCCAAGCGGGCACTGGGGTGGGGACGCAGTAGGGTTAGATCACGACAGTCAACCTCTCAGTTAAGTGTCTAATTAGTGTATGGGTAAGGACTGCATTCATTGAGCACCTATTGGTTGCAGTCGCTGGCCTTTATTTCTGTTCGGCCGTTCACATCTCTGCCCCCCCACCTCTCTTAATATTTGTTATTAATTATTAAATAATTAATAACCTACAATTATTTATAACATTATATAAATGCATTGCATAATTAATAATACAATAATTCAATACTAGTTAATATTTTTTATTTAAATCGACTCATATTTTAAAAAAGACTCAACTCCATGAATTTTCAAAGGAGATTTTTTTGTGTGGTTACAAGAGTCCAGGAAGGTTCGGCCACTGCCCCATCTGCTCTCAGGCCTCAGTTTCCTCACCTGGAAATGGGTATAACAAGTTCTGCTGCCCCCTGGGGAGCAGACCCCACACCACCTGCAATAAAAGGAACGACAGTAAAAATAATGATAATAAGGAAACGAAACAGTGTTGCTAACCAAAATATGGGAGGTTTGAGTCCACCCAGAGGCACCTTGGAAGAAAGGCCTGGTGATCTACTTCTGAAAAATCAGCCATTGAAAACCCTGTGGAGCCTAGTTCTGCTCTGACACTCGTCGGGGCGCCAGGAGTCAGAGTTGACTCCACGGCAGCTGTTTGGGGGCTGCCTGGGAGAGGTGCAGCATCCCCCAGCCCCCGAGCCCCAGCACCTCCCTGGTCACGTTGCCATGTGCTCCCGGGGCCCCTGGTGTGGTGACAGGGCTGAGCACCACGTGTCTGTGTGCCTGTCCACACGTGCTGACTGAGGACAGGGCCATGTTCTCTGGGGATGGATGGGTCTTTGACCCCACACTTCCTGCTGTGCCCAGCACAGCCAAGCCCATCTATGCTGATCACAGCTCCTGCCCCCACCCCCCACGTCCCATGGGGGCACAAAGGGTCCAAGGGGGTGGCCGCTTGCCCAGGGCCATGCAGCGCCAGCTGACTGTTGTAGACTGGGTCTTGGTATCCCCAGCCATCAAAGAGCAGAGCCCTGTGGCCGTTGGGAATGCAGGTGTTGAAAGACGACCACAAACAGCCCTCCGGGATGCAGGCGGCGGAGGGGGGAAATAGAGTAACGGATTCCTGGTGCCTCCTGGTGGGAGGAGCAAGAGGGGGTATGGTGGGGCCCCTCCTGACAGTTGGGGCTTTTCAGGATCAGGGATGGGTGGGGGTTATTCTTCCCATGACATTCCTGGTGGTGGGGCAGGAAGGTCAGGCAAGGCCTGGCTGAGTCTGGGGCAATAGGGAGCCGCAGAAGGGCTGAGAATGTGGCAGGGGGCTGAGCCTCCAGGCACTGCTCAAAACAGATTTTAAAACAGATATTGAAGGTTTTAAAGGTACACTGCCCTCACCACCTCTCTACCAAGTGGGGCCTGTTTATGTCCTCGTCCTACAGATAGGGAAACAGAGGCAGGAGAAAGGACCCTGAGGGCACGCACTGAGGAACAGGTTACTGCAGGCTCCAGAGCCCATCCCCTGCTGCTGGGGGGAGACAGGGCTAGGGGAGAGGTTGAGGCCCCAGCTTCGGGGTGGGGGGTGGGGGGAGAGCCTCAGGAGGAATGATGGAGGGGATGGGGGAGGGGGAGCAGGCTGAGGACACAGAGCTGAGGCAGAGGCCTGGCGTTGTGGACGGAAGACACTTCAAGGCACCTGGCCTGAGCCCCCAGGACCCCACGTTTGCTCAGGGTGGGCCAAAAATAAACCCCGTTGCCGCTGAGTTGACTCTGACTCATGGTGACCCTATGTGTTACAGAGTAGAACTGAGCTCCATCGGGTTTTCTCAGCTGTGGTGGCACAATGGTTAAGCGCTGTGATCTGCTTCTGTAAAGATCGTTGTTGTTATCAGGTACCGTCGAGTCAGTTCCGACTCACAGCGACCACGTACAACAGAACGAAACACTGCCCGGTCCCGCGCCAGCCTCATGATCACTGTTATGCTTGAGCCCGTTGCTGCAGCCACTGTGTCAATCCGTCTTCTTGAGGGTCTTCCTCTTCTTCCCTGACCCTCTACTTTACCAAGCATGATGTCCTTCTCCAGAGACTGGTCCCTCCTGACAACATGTCCAAAGTATGTGAGACCAAGTCTCACCATCCTCGCTTCTGAGGAGCACTCTGGCTGTACTTTTTCCAAGACAGATTTGTTTGTAAAGAGTACAGCCAAGAAAACCCGTTGGGGGCAGTCCTACTCTGTCACATGAGGTCACTATGAGTCAGAATCGACTCAACAGCAGCTAACAACATCAATCTTTATGGAAGCAGATTGCCAGGCCTTTCTTCCATGGGCCACCAGATGGATTCAAACTGCCAACCTTTAGGCTAGTGGGCAGAGCAGCCAAAGTCCACCCTGAACCCTACCACCTAGAACCCTCCCCAGACCCGCCCATGGGGAGACAAACCTCCCCAAAGAGCCCCTCACAGCCCCCAGGACTTGAACTGGTGCCCCAAGGTGGGGGTGGCACTATGAGCTCCAGGTCTTTCTAGTTTCACCCTGGAAATGAGCCCCAATCTTGTTTTCTGACTGAGGTGAAATACACATGGCATAAAGTTAACCTTTTTTTTTTTTTTTTTGGTGTTAGCTATTTTTTTTTTTTTTACTTTCTCTTTTGTTTTCTTTTTTAATTGTACTTTAGATGAAGGTTTACAGAACAAAGAGTTTCTCATTAAACAGTTAGTACACATATTGTTTTACGACAGTGGTTGACAACCCCACCATACATCAACACTCTCCCTTCTCAACCTTGGGTTCCCTATTACCAGCTTTCCTGTCCCCCACTGCCTTCTAGTCCTTGTCCTTGGACTATTGTGCCCCATTAGTCTCGTTCTGTTTTATGGGGCTGTCTAATCTTTGGCTGAACGGTGAACCTCGGGAGTGACTTCACTACTGAGCTAAAAGGGGGTCCAGGGGCCATACTCTAAGGGTTTCTCCAGTCTCTGTCAGGACAGTAAATCTGGTCTTGTTTTGTGAGTTAGAATTTTGTTCTACATCCTTCTCCAGCTCTGTCCAGGACCCTCTGTTGTGATCCCAGTCAGAGCAGTCAGTGGTGGTAGCCGGGCACCATCTAGTTGTACTGGACTCAGTCTGGTGGAGACCATGGTAGCTGTGGCCCATAAGTCCTTTGGACTAATCTTTTTCTTGTATCCTGTTTTCTTCATCTTCCCTTGCTCCCGAAGGAGTGAGACCAGTGGAATATCTTAGATGGCTGCTCACAGGCTTTTAAGACCCCAGATGCTACTCACCAAGGTAGAATGCAGAACATTTTAAAGTTAACCATTTTAAAGCGAACGATTCGGTGTCACTTATTGCATTCACCGAGTTGTGCAATCATCACCACTATCTGGTTCCAGAACATTCTCATCACCCCCAAAGGGACCCGAACCCCTTAGCAGTCACTCTCCACCTCTCCTCCCCCAGCCCTTGGTAGCCACTGATGCACTTTGTTTTTCTGAATTTCCGTTCTGGACATTTCACTTGCATAAATGGAATCACAAAATACAGCCTTTTGTGTCTGCCTTCTTTCACTGAGCAAAATGTTTTCGGGGTTCATCCAGGTTGTCACACGTCTTAGTGTTTCATTCCTTTTTATGCCTGAGTAATACTCCATTGTACGGACGGACCATGTTGTGTTTATCCATCACTTGTTGATGGGCTCTTGGGTTGTTTTCACCTCTGGCTATTGTGAATAGTGCTGCTGTGCGCATTTGTGTACAAGTTTTCCTGCGGAGCTGTGTTTCATTTCTCGTGAGTATATACCTAGGACTGGAGCTGCTGGGTCATATGGTAACTCCACGTTCAACTTGTTGAGGGACCAGCCAAACTGTTTTCCACAGCAGCTGCACCATTTTACATTCCCACCAGTAATGCACGTGGGTTCCGATTCCTCCACACTTGTTACTTTCTGTTTGTGTGATAATACCCATCCTAGTGGGTGTGAGGTAATATATATCGCTGTGGTTTGGAACTGCATCTCCCTAATGGTTAATGAGGGGCCTCGCGGGGCAGTGGTTAAGAGCTCAGGCTGCTAACCAAGAGGTCAGCAGTTCGAATCCACCAGCTGTTTCTTGGAAACCTGTAGGGCAGATCTAGTCGAGTCACTGTGAGTTGGAATCGACTTGACTGTAACCTGTTTGGGTTCGGTTTTCATGGCTGATGCTGCTGCCCATCTCTTTAAGAGCTTATTGGCCTTTTGTGTGTCTTCTCTGGAGAAATGTCAAGTCCTTTGCCATTTTTTAACGGGGTTGTCTGTCTTTCTGTTGTTGAGCTGTAGGAATTCTTTGTATGTTCTGGATTCCCAATCTTGTTTTTCTCTTCCCGCCCCCCACTTCTGCGGCCCCCATCTCTTGCCCAGGTCCCAGGTGCCACAAAACCTCTGCAGACCCTACTTCAAGGGTGAAGGAAAAGGGAGCAACTTCTCCAGCGCCAGGTGACCTTCTGGCTCCTGACGGCCCCTCAGACCTCCTCTTATCCCCATTTTACAGACGCAGAAACTGAGGCGAATGGCCAGCCCAGGGTGCTACAAATTAAAAAACTGGCAGAACTTGAACCTACTGACTCACACCCACAGCCTCCGTGGTCACCAGGCCCAGTGGGCCCCGAGAATCAGAATGGGGAAACAGGCCTGGCAGGCGGGCATTAAGGATAAAGATCACAATTCTGCTAATATTTGAGTGCCTGAGCATGCCAGCCACCCAAGGTCTTGGCAACAATTAATTCCCGTCACCCTCACAGTGCCTGGAGGTGGGACCCCATTTTACAGAGGGGGGCGTTGGAGGAGTCCAGGGTGGCCCTGGGAGCCTTGAGCAACTTCCCGTTTTCCTGCTGGGAGGGCTGGCCCCATGTCTGGGTGGTGGGGCGCGCCAATCCCCAGGGCCTGAGTATAAGGGCGGCAGCCGCCCCCAGCCTCCGCAGACGCCCACCATGCCTGCGCTCCGACTCCTGGCCCTGCTGGGCGGCCTGCTGGCGTATGCGTGGGCCGGTGAGTCCCTGCCCCGTGCCAGGCGTCCCCCATGTGCGCAGGGGGCTGAGAGATGGTGACCTGTCCTCGGTCACCCAGTCCGGCCCTGGGCGGCCCTGGGTGGAGGGCGAAGGGGGTCCTGGGGCCCGCCTGTCCCCTTAGGGAGAAGGGAAGGGTGGGGTCTCCCCTGTAGCTGCGTGGCGGGTGAGGGTGAGATTAGAGGGGGCTCCCCCTACACGGGGTTCTTCGGACCTCAGAACTGCCCCTTCTCCCCCCACAGGATCGGCCCCCTGCGCGGGCATCGTGGGCGGCAGGAGGGCTAGGTCGCGGGACTTCCCATTTCTGGCCTCCCTTCAGCGTCAAGGGAATCACTTCTGCGGGGGCGCCCTGATCCACAGCCGCTTCGTGCTGACGGCAGCCAGCTGCTTCCGCATCGGGTGAGGGGGCCCGAGGGGAGGGGTAGGGAGAGGCTGGGGGGCTCAGAGAGGGGAGGGGAATCGGGGAGGCCTCCTGGAGTCAGACAGAGGCAGGAGGCCTGGTGGGGGGGGGAGGTGGCACAGAGGGGAGCAGCTCGCAGGTGTGAGTGTGGGGGATTCTTGGCAAAGCAGAGGGGCTCAGAGAGGGGAGGGGGCTCAGAGAGAGGAAGGGGTCCAGAGAGGGTCGCAGTCGCCTCATGGGTGAAAGTGGGGGAGGTCAGTAAGATCGCCGGCCCTTTGGTTTCCCGGCTGCCCAGGCAGGTGGGCTGGGGACACCCATCTTATTTGCAAGCCTGCTGATCGTTGGTATCCCGGAACCAGGGTGGGCCTGAAGGTCTGGGGCTTCTCCACAAGGCCCCAACCTAGTGTTTTCCCCTCTGCCTTCTCCCCCGACCCAAGGAACCCCACAACTGCCACAGTGGTGCTGGGGGCCTATGACTTGAGGCGGCAGGAGCATTCCAGACAGATCTTCTCCGTGAGGGGCGTCAGTGAGAATGGCTACGACCCCCAGGAGAACCTGAACGACGTGCTGCTGCTGCAGGTGGGGGCGGGGCGGCAGCTGTCAAACGGGTAGCCAGGAGCCCTCATGGGGGGGCCACACAGGGCATTGTGACCCAGCCCGGGGGTGTCCAGGATCCCAAATTAAATTAGAAGTTCACTAGGCAAAGGGAAAAGGGAAAAGCATGCAGAGAGAGGGAACAGCATGTGCAAAGGGCCTGGGGTTGGAACAAGGTTTCTGGGGCTGAAGAGAGGAACTCATATTTAGAGAGCCTGGTGTACACAGGGGTCTCTTTTGTTTCCTTTGGTGGTTTAAAAACTGCAGCAAAGTATGCGGACTATACACCCCAGTCACTTATCCAGCCTCCTGTTGGTGGATGCCTAAGCTATTTCCAAACACTTTTGGAATGACAGAATCACAATGAACTTTGTACATGTTTCCCTGCCATTGTTACTCCAGGGCAGCCACTTTGGCAAATGGTCGTATCAGTTTACCCTCTGCCCAGCAGAATTAAGAACTGCCCATTTCTCCACATCTTCACTGACACTGAGTATTATGGTTTTTACTTTTTTTTTTTCCCAGTATGGTAGGGGAAATGGTACCTAGTTGTTTTATCTGCATTTCCTGGGCAGGGTCTTGGTTATCCTCACACCCACATTAATGGTAGAAATTATTATTCTGTTTCTACATGGAAGAGCTAGATGCCCAGAGAGATAAAGTGACTCAGCCAGGGTTCCACAGCAGAGCTGGGATTTGAACACAAACCATCCCAGGTGAAAAGTCGTGTTGCTGCAGTTCCTGCTCCCGGCTGGGGCTCCACGAGGGTCCGGGCCCCAGTGCCACCCTCCCCTGACTCGGTTTCCCTCCCCAGCTGGACCGTGAGGCCAACCTGACCAGCAGAGTGGCTGTGCTGCCGCTGCCCCAGCAGAACGCCACAGTGGAAGCCGGCACCAACTGCCAGGTGGCAGGCTGGGGGATCACAGGACCCAGGGGGCGCCTCTCCCGCTACCTGAGGGTCGTCAACGTCACCGTGACCCCCGAGGACCAGTGTCGCCCCAACAATGTGTGCACAGATGTGCTCACCCACCGGGGAGGCATCTGCCAGGTATGGGCCAGCCAAGGACCTGGTGGGGCCTCCTCGTAGAGAGGGGGGGTCCTGAGAGGCAGAGAGTGCCCCGTGGTGGAAGGAAGCGAGACCGGGCTGAGGGAGACGTGGCAGCGGGGGCCGGGGTTGAGGGCAGAGTTGGGATTGGCAGTTTTGAGGACCTTTCAGATCCCAGATGCTCACATTCTTATCCTCGAATATTCCAGCATTTTAACAGGGGTTGGGGACACAAAGGGGGACAAAACAGACAGGGGCCTGCCTTTTTGGGGCTCCTAGTCCTGTGGATGGGGGATTCAGACATGTAGCAAGTTAAGGAGCCACATTGGAGGGGGCACATAACAGTGGGATTGCTCAGGGGTGTACTTGACCCAAGCTGGGGGTGTCAGGGAGTGTTCCTGGAGGCATCTGAGACCTAAAATTCCACTAGGAGTTAACCAGGCATAGGGTGGTGGGAAAAGCCTGCAGAGAGCGGGAACAGCACGTGCAAAGGGCCTGAGGTTGGAACAAGATTTGTGGCTTCAGGATCAGGAAAAAGGCTCATGTTGTCAGAGCTCTGGGGTGGGGTGGGGAGCTGGGGAGCTGGGCCCAGGGGGCACCCTAACACGCCTACTTCCGTCCAGGGTGACGGGGGCACCCCCCTCGTGTGCAGTGGCCTCGCGCACGGTGTAGCCTCCTTCTCCCTGAGTCCCTGCGGCAGGGGCGCCGACTTCTTCGCCCGCGTGGCACTCTTCCGAAACTGGATCGACTCCGTTCTAAACGGCCCATCGGACGAGCCTGTGGGGGGCCTGTGACTCCCCCCACCCCGAGCCAGCTCCTCCCTCCATGCCACTCACACTGTGTCTCCATGTCCATGGCCCTTCGTGTGTCCCCCGAATTGCACCTCTGGGCCTGAACCTGCCCCCAGTCCCTGTGGTTGTGACTGTAATAAAGAAACCACTCGGTCCTCTGCATCTGATTTCCGTGTCGCCAGGGTGGGGACAGCCCCCGGGCTTTGGGGAGGGGCTTATGATCATGGCAACTGTCTGCCTCCACACATGGAATCCGATGATGTCCCTGAGAGCCAGGGGCTGCTGATCTCTGCACCTGACAGAGGGGCCCCCAAGGCTCAGAGAGGCTGAGTGTTTCACCTGAGGTCACACAGCTAGTGTGGGCTTCCAGCCCAAGTCTGTGTGATTCCAGGGCCCAACTGGGGTTTTATTATTATAGTTATTCTGATTAAAAAAAATAAAAGCCCATTACTGTCAAGTTGATTCCGACTCATAATGGCCCTATAGGACAGAGTAGAACTGCCCCAAGGAGTGGCTGGTGGATTTGAACTGCCGACCATTGGGTTAGCAGCCGTAGCTCTTAATCACTGTGCCACCAGGGCCCCAAAACCAAGCCCGTTGCTGATTATTCTGATAATATATGTGTGTGTATATAATTGCCATTTGCCCCGCTTTTAAGAGTACAGTTCAGTGACATTAATTACGTTCACCAGGTGTGCAGCCGTCATGACTATTTTCAAGTGTTTTTCATCCCCCTGAACAGAAACTCAAGGAGCCCGGGTGGTGCGATGGTTAAGCACTCGGCTGCTAACTGCAGGGTCGACGGTTCAAACCTGCCCAGAGGCTCCTTGGGAGAAAGACTTGGCGATCTGTCCCCATAAAGATTGTTGTTGTTGTTAGGTGCCGGGGAATCGGTTCTGACTCCTAGTGACCCCATGGACAACAGAACGAAACACTGCCCAGTCCGGCGCCATCCTCACAGTCCGTGTTATGCTCAAGCCCATTGTTGCAGCCACTGTGTCAATCCATCTTGTTGAGGGTCTTCCTCTTTTTTGCTGACCCCCTACTTTACCAAGTGTCTTAGTTATCTAGTGCTGCTCTAACAGAAATACCACAAGTGGATGACTTTAACAAGGAGAAATTGATTTTCTCACAGTCTAGTAGGCCACAAGTCCAAATTCACTACGTCAGCTCCAGGGGAAGGCTTTCTCTGTCGGCTCTGGAGGAAGGTCCTTGAGATGCATCCGTCTTCCCTCGGTCTGGGGGCATCTCAGCGCAAGTACCCCGCGTCTAAAGGACGCGCTCCGCTCTTGGCACTGCTTTCTTGGTGGTGTGAGATTCCCAACTCTCTGCTTGCTTCCCTTTCCTTTTATCTCTTGTAAAATAAAAGGTGGTGCAGCCCACACCCCAGGGAAGCTCCCTTTACACTGCATCAGGGATGTAACCTTAGGAAGGGTGTTACAATCCCACCGTAATCCTCTTTACCAAAAAAATTACAATCACAAAATGGAGGACAACCACACAATACTGGGAATCATGGCCTAGCCAAAATGATACACACATTTCTGGGGGGACATAATTCAATCCGTGACATCAAGATGATGTCCTTCTCCAGGGACTGGTCCCTCCTGATAACATGTCCAAAGTAAATATTACAGCCTAGGACACCCTATGGGGCAGTTCTACTCTGTCACACGGGGTTGCAATGAGTCGAAAATCAACTCAATGGCACCCAACAGCAAACAGATATTCGGTACCTCTTAAGCAATAACCCCCCATTCCCCCCTCCCTCCCGGCCCTGGTAACCACTAATAAACTTTTGGCTCTCTGCATTTGCTTCTTTTTCTTCAGACATTTTGTCAAAATGGAATCACACACTGTGATGCCTCTTGAGTCTGGCATTGCTCACAGAGCATAATGTTTTCAAGGTTCATCCCCGTCATAGTGTGAATCAGAGCTTCATCGCTTTTTAGGCTGAGTGGTATTCCATTGCATGGATGGGCCAACCTTTGTTTATCCATTCATCTGCTGATGGGTATTTGGGCTGTCTCCACCTCCTAGTTTCTGTGCATAAAGCTGTAATGAATATTGGTGTACAAGTATCTGTTTGAGTCCTTGTTTTCAATTTTTAGGGGCAGATACCTGGGAGTGGAATTATTGGGCTGTATGGTGATTCTGTGTTTAACTTTTTGAGGAACTGCCCAACTTTTTCACAGAAGATGCATTGTTTTACATCCCCACCGGCAACGCACGAGGGTTCTAACTTCTCCACATCCTTGCTGTGAAAGGATAGTAGTACATCAGAAGCTGTCTAACACTCGGAGGGTAATGTGAATCAAGGTCTTGAGGCAGAGATCAGACATACCTCCTCTCTCCCACCTTTTTACCAATCCTGACACCAGCTGTCCCTCTCACGGCACTCTTTACTTCTCTTCTGGGTTCTGTAATCCATTGCGGTGGGTACACAGAGCTCACAGATCATTTTTACCGTTCAGTTTGTTTAGGAAGCAACAGGCGCCCCCTTTGGGATCGGGATCAGGAAGTGTGTAGGCAAAGTCTGAAAAGCTCTCCTGAAGTAGAGAGCACATCCCTCCATTCTTCTGTGGAAGATAGCTCTGTCAGCACCTCTCAGCCGTGCAAGCAAGTAGGCCCTTCTCTCTACCATGTATGCCGCCTCTTAGCCCCCTGAGAGCAAGTCTCTCTGCCTTTGGCCTATCTGTCATCATCACCAACTCTGCCCCACGGCCCCTTCTGAGCCTCTTGTTGTCTTAAGCATTACAGCCCTTGACTGTGTTACAGTTTTTTTAGAGGTTCCTTGCCTTCTCACTCTCTCCTTCTCTCTCCTTTCTTCCTTTTGCTTCTGTCTGCCCACCTCTGTGCGGTTAGCTGTATATATAAGCAGACTCCTGGTCAGTTTCAAGGCATGGCCCTTCCACCAGAGCCACGAACTGACCAATACCCTCTCGGTAGGCCACAGACACTTCATTTGCATAGTAGGCTACAGTCACTTTATTTGCATACTATATTAACCAATCCCTGCAAGGTGTGTGAAATAGACCAATCACAGGGCGGGCTGCAGCCCAGGGCCAGACAAGAAGTATCAAACCATCACGTTGTTTACAGCTTACTCAGGAAATGTCAGTCAACCTGGATAAAAGTAACACACCCTCTAGGGTAGAAAACGAGGTCAAAGGTAATGCCTCAGGGCTCGGGGGAAAATCTCTCAAGCTGTTTTTCCAAAGAACCAGGGCAAAAGGCCACATAAAGGAACTCATTTCACCACACTTGCTGTTCTCCGTTTTTCTGATCGTAGCCGTCTTAGTGGGTGTGAAGTGATATCTCACTGTGGTTTTGATTTGTATCTCCCTAATGACTAAGGGAACCCTGGTGGCGCAGTGGTTAAGAGCTCAGCTGCTAACCAAAAGATTGGCAGTTTGAATCCACCAGCCACTCCTTGGAAACCCTATGGGGCAGTTCTACTCTGTCCTGTAGGGTCACTGGAGTGGGAATTGACTGGACGGCAATGGGCCTGGTTTTTTCGGTAATGACTATTGACATAGAGCATCTTTTTTTTTCCAATAATTTATTTTATTTTTGTTGCTGAGAATACACGCAGCAGCACATACACCAACAATGTCTGCACGTACAGTTTAGTGACATTGACTACATTCTTTGAGTTGCAACCATTCTCACCTTCCTTTTCCAAGTTGTTCCTCCCCCATTAACATAAACTCACTGCCCCCTAGGGTTCCCGTCTAATCTTTCGAGTTGCTGTTGTCAGTTTGATCCCATACAGACAGATCCTAAAAGAGCAGAGTTCTCAAGGCAGACGTTATTTACTAGTTAAGCTAAACTACGGTTTGGTTTTAAGACTTCAGGGGATGTTTTTGGTTTCAGGTTTAAAGGTCATCTCAGGGCAAGAGTTCAGGGGCTCATCCAGCACCCATGGCTCCAGAAAATCTGGAGTCCATGAGCGTTTGAAAGTCTGCATTTTCCCCCTTTTGATCAGGATTCCTCTACAGAATCTTTGATCCAAACATTCAGTGATGGTAGCCAGGCACCATCCAGTTCTGGCCTCATGGCAGAGGGGGCAGTTGTTCGTGGACGCAGTTAGCCACACATTCCATGTCCTCCTCCTGTCCCTGACTCTCCTTCCTTTGCTGTTCAGACACGGGGCATCTTTTCATGAGCTTGTCTCCAGGCCCCTGACTTGTAACCACCTCTCTTTGTGACACTGACTGCTGAGTGACCGTGGGCAGCCCCCATGTGCCCTCAACCCTCGATTCCAAAATTGTTGTTTGTTATTAGGTGCCATCAAGTCGGTTCCGACTCATAGCGACCCTCTGCACCACAGAACGAAACACTGCTCAGTCCTGCGCCATCCTCACAATCATTACGTTTGAGCCCATTGTTGCAGCCACTGTGCCAATCCATCTCCTTGGGGTCTTCCTCTTTTTCGCTGACCTACTTTACCAAGCATGATGTCCTTCTCCAGGGACTGATCCCTCCTGATAACATGTCCAAAGTATGTAAGACATAGTCTTGCCATCCTTTCTTCTAAGGAGCTTTCTGGTTGTACTTCTTCTAAGACAGATTTGTTCGTTCTTCTGGCAGTCCACGGGATATTCAATATTCTTCACCAACACCACAATTCAAAGGTGTCAATTCTTCTTCGGTCTTTATTATTCATTGTCCAGCTTTCCCATGCATATGATGCAATTGAAAACACCATGGCTTAGGTCAGGTGCACCTTAGTCTTCAAGGTGACATCTTTGCTTTTCAACATTTTAAAGAGATCTTTTGCAGCAGTGTAGGACAGGGTAATCCCAGTCACACCCATCCACACACACCCCAAACCTGGTGCTTCCATCCACCCCTCCCAGCCCTGTTCCAGGCCCCCACCAGAGGGAGGAACTATTATTATTATTTTTAATAGATTTTATTTTTTAGAGCACTTTTAGGTTTACAGAAAAACTGCTCAGAAAGTTGAGCTCCCTCATACCCCTCTCCCCCTGCACGCAGTG